ATAATTCTGACACTTCAGTTTAAAAACATTTAATTTGAAAACCGTACAATTGCGGCTGCTTCCTGTGTGTATGTGAAGCCCGCACAATGCAATGTAATGCCGGGTTTACAACAGCTTTGTGTAGCTTCACACATACTAGCAACAACAACAATAACACTATACGTTATGAATCATGATAATATAAATATCAGAATCAGTATCGGTACATACATATGTAATGCAGTCAGATCAGAACTGAAAAAAGGTGGATTGGTGCATCTCTAATACAAATTCATCACTGATTAACCATCTCACATTCATTTATTTTTGGTTTAAGCATTACATCAAAAGAGCACACTGAAAGAATCTGCACTGACTATGCAATTAAAATAAACATGCACAAGTACAGGAAACAAGTTCACAAATGCATAACATCAACATTTCAGAGTCAGTCTGTTTATTTGAACTCCTGGGGAATAATAATATCCTGCCAGACCCCACATATGTCACAACTTTTTTTTGCAATGGTAAAACAATTTTCTGTGTCACCAGTCAGTCAGAGACATAATGGATCTTTATCATCAGGAATAAATGTCCTCCCCGCTCCATTTCCTAAACCTGCCAAAGGCGCTGAGCAATTCCAACATCTGTGCACAAGGAATGTTCTGTGATACTGAAGCCAGCGGAGACGGTTGATGTGGTCGGTTCACTGCACTTCTGGTTTTCCAAATGTAGAGTGAGGTTTGGTGGAATTCAGGTTCACTGCCCACCTATCCACACTGTGTCTGTAATGACTAACGTGCTTTAAAATGAAAGAGCGATGTATAGACGGATCTAAGGAAGGGGGAAAAATTGGAGTGTCTTTTTCAGGATCCTGGTAGAAACACTTTTAGAAAACAGTGAAACATTTGAATACATCTCCAGAGGAATGTATTTTTAAAAAAAATTCTGAGAATCCAAAGCTTAACCAGTCCAGTTTCCTTTGGTTCAGGCTTCCAATTGACCACTGGATGACTGTGAACCTACACAAACATTCTGAGAATCCTCTCACAGCTCTCCTGACTCAGTTTAAAAAAATCATAGCAAGGATTTTAGCGAGTGGATTTAGGAACATCCTCAGAGCAACTCTGAGCGAGGAAGGGGCAGAAACTTTTATCTTAGTGAGGAGGCGTGGTCGACCCCCGTTGCTGGGTATGACACATCTTTTCAGAAGCTGTGATTGGTTAATCCAACAAAATGGAGAAAAAAAGTAAATCACAGAATCCAGTCAGACGTTGTGTAATTATGAACTCTATGAAATTAACATCTCTGTGTGATAATTGGTAAGACGTACTTTAAAAGTATAAAGCCTACGAGATGTCTTCTTCACCTGCTGATCGTTACATCAGCAGGTGAAGGGCCTTAATTAGTGATTGGATGCACCTGTGGAGGTGACCGCAAGTAGCGAAACATGTCTCACTTTGCACTGAAAAAATGTCTGCGTGAATCATTTTTGTCTGTTCAGAAAACTGTGATTCAATAATATTCTTCATGTAGTGTTTGGAGAACAGGTCTTCCTTGTATTTATTTGACCTTTTTTATTTTATTGTTTACATCTTTTTTTTTAAGATTTATTTTTGGGCATTTTGTGCCTTTATTGTAGAGATAGGATAGTGGATAGAGTCGGGAAATCAGGGAGAAAGAGAGTAGGAAATGACATGCTGGAAAGGAGCCACGGGTTGGAATGGAGCCTGGGACGCCCGCTTGGAGGACTACAGCCTCCATACATGGGGCGCGTGCTCTAACCACTGCGCCACCAGCGCCCCACTGTATACATCTTTTTGACCACTCGCATGCTGTGCTAGTTATTGAACCATTTACAACATCCATTTAGAGCTGCACAGCCTTAGTAAGAAAAAAAACGATGTCAATGTGCTGATTTTGAAAATTGCATCGTTGTACTAATGATTATTGATAATGCATTGACCCTCATAACGTCACATATTTACTTTGCAATGTTTGACATTAATGCATGAATGTATTATGATCACATCAAAAGAAATATATATATTTTTTGGTTACCAATTTGTGTTAGGGTCTGACTTGATTGATTCAGGACCAAAGAGGCAATCTGATAATAAAAACGTTATCTTTCTAAGACAGGTTTCTATTATAATTGAATACAAATTTGAATCAAATTTTTCTAGACAATTGGTGAAAGTAAATGGAAACTAACTTCTATTTTCCTTCACTAATATATTGTGAATATTTTAGGTTCAGCTCATTTTCAGCTTGTGGAGCTTCCATTCCACATCGCACACCCATGGTGTAACACATCTGGCAACACTAGAGGCAGGATGAAACAGTTTTGTGTCAGTGCCTTTTGAAACCAATGCGAATCACGATTACACAAATGTTTCCCGATCTGCTACAGTTATGGTAAAGGTTTGGTTAGGTTTGTACACAAAAAGTTTAAGGCTAGGAAATGTTGTATTCACAGTTAAAAGAAGCCCATGTTGACGGTGAAATGATTGGTTTGCCTCACAAATCAAAGAGACACATATGGTCCACCAATACATCCATCCATCCTAAATCACAGATCTGTATCCTTCAAATGTGTAGCTTGTGTCCAATCATTGAAAAGTTCCTGATTTTCTTTTTAAGGCCAGTCCATTTATTTCTCTAATAAGTGAGAACATCTTAGGAATGCTGCACGCTAGACGATTTTCAAAGACATGCGGACAGTTTCAACCAAATTATAATATATTAATCCTCTGAATGCACACAGTAGAGCATCCCAAAGATTGACATATCTTCAAAGACACAAAGTGAGGGACTGGCTTATGTCTAAGAAGCCAGTTTGCTCATTCTATTTGAACAATGTACGGTGTGTAAGATGCCCATATTTGGTTTATTTTACAAACTGTAAGTAAAATAATCTAGATCTGGATCTCTGTTGCAGTTACCTACCTTTCAAAAACCTCACTTTCTCCAAATGAAAACCAAAAGAGGCCCAAACAGTCAACATGTGTGACCCAAGTCTTTGACCGCATACACATTTAGCCTCGTGGGGCTTACAGTTCGCCCACTTCAAGCAAATGGCCCACTTGTTACCCATGTGGAGCTTATATGAGATACACATGTGCACACTGATCTGATACTAAACACACTGTGATGCATTTATTCAGTTTACTACTTCATGTTGAACATTCATCTGTAATATGAAATATGAGCTCACATGAATTATAGACTATTGTTTTCTAGAACTTCTATGAGTAGGACTCTATTGAAGAGTAAAGGTGTTTTTTAAAGTTATTTTCTACTTTTTTAAAGTCTTTTCTAACGGCAAAGTTCATTACACACTGTATTCTAGAAGTTAAAAGGTCGTTTTAAAGCAAGACAAACAAATAAAAAAAGAAAGAGGGTATATGTTAAAGGAGACTTTGAGAAAGAAAAGATGTGGTAGCTGTTCTCTCTATAGCTCACTGATCCTCCCCCGTCTTTAAGCCTCTGCCAGCATACTGCAGCCTGCTCCTCCATGTTTATGTTTCACTTTTCCCATCCCAGCATAGAGCTCACGTTGTTATTTTCTCCAGCCCAGCCTTGTGGTCTGTGGAACCGTGTTTGCGCTGCAAACTGAACACAGGGAGCACTCCGCAGAAAACACAGCAGCAGACTGATGTCGCATGGCACAACATGAAGACTCACTAAAACATTTTACAGGAAAAAGGAGGCGGGAAGAGGAACAGTGGAGAGGAGAAGAGAAATGTGGTGATTTCATGAGGCAGTCAGACGTCATTTCAAACTCTATATCATATCATGTGCCAACTTAATATTACAAGATTCAATGGCCTGTTGGAAGAGGCACTTATTATGAACACTCATACATATATTTGAACTGTTTCTGTTTTGATGTGTGTATTAATTTGTGAAAGGGAGTAAATATTTTTACATGTGGTTAGCAGTGTGTGCAAACTGTGTAAAATTGTGTCACACATACACAAAACTCCTGAAAATGTCCTCATTTTTATTTCGGGACAGCTGCATGTATGATTGCAATTGTCCAGATTTCTCACCTTGACTTTTCCTGACTGCCCCCTGAGCGGCTGTGGCTCAGTAAGGTCAAGGGTTCGATCCCCAGCCGGGCAACTTGTCCAATGTGTCCTTGGGCAAGACACTTAACCCCGAATTTCTCCCGCTGCTTCGGTGGTGTATGAATGGGATTACTTCTGATGGATGATACTACATAGCGGCCACTACCATCAGTGTGTGAATGTGTAGGTGTGACATGCAGTGTAAAAGCGCTTTGAGTAGTTGGAAGACTAGAAAAGCACTATATGAGCTCAAGTCCATTGACAATGTCACTCTGTTGTGGTCATGATGCATGTAATGAAGCTCACCAGTATGTTAATTTTCACCCCTTCATTTGTACAGTAAACATGTATTTTACATAAATCTAAAGGGAAAAATTGTCTTTAAAGCAGCAGATTTGGCTCTTACTGCCATCTTGGATATTTGTTTATAAATGCTGCATCCTTCTTACGTCATGTCTTGCATCCTGTGACAGCCCCATAAGTCAGGGAAAACAGAAAGTTGAGTCAAAATACCTTTTTGACCTCTCACAAATGCTGGTCTTGTGAATTCATCTGTAGTGGAAAGACTCCCTGGCCACCTTTCAGGATGTTATGTAATGATATTTTGAGTTTTCTTGCCCTGAGGTTGGTTAATGAGTATCAAGGTAAAACAGTTTAAGCCCATGGGGACACTGGCCTGAATACACTGGTTTAATGGCAAACTTAGATTGTGGTATTTTTTGGCTGGACAAAAAGGCCAGGGCCAAGGTTCACACATTCCACATTATAGTTCTGGTGGCCCTTTTTTTTCATGAATCAGGTCAAGTCAGTAGGAAATTTCCACCTGGTAGGTGCTTGGGGAAGAATCAGAAGGCAAAATAAATACACTGTTCTCATCTCACCTTGTTGTTTTCCTACACTTGTAGTTAGGTGGGACTGGAAAGAGGAGGCCAACTCTCTGACAGAACCATGTTGCTGTGGTCAATATGGAGTGCATTATTGCTACTGAACTCGCTGGAGGGTGCAGAGGAGGACGACCTCCGAGCAGGTAGGGACTTTGTGTAGAGAAAGCAGCAACACTTCCAAGTAAGATTGCTTGGGAGTCTATTTTAACAGAATTAAAATTACAAGCATTACATTCTGAGGTCTTGAGTCTGAATGGAATGTGAACATTTTTAGTATTTGAAACGTGTCTCTGTGTTCACTCTGTGCTTGTGTGTCCTTACGAGTGTGTATCTTTGCGCAGGATGCAGCACAGCTGTAAATGACCTGGTCTATATTGTTGATGGCTCATGGAGTGTTGGATCTGCTGACTTCGAAACAGCCAAACAGTGGCTTATAAACATAACCAGCCAATTTGACATCAGTTCCTACTACACACAGGTAATGAATACTACATAAAAGCTGACTGAATATGCTGAATTAACTTGTTGAGATTGAACTTTATCATTTAGCAGCAGTTCATTACCATTTGTATTAAGGTTAGCTGATTATATTCACCTGTGAGACGTCTGTATCCGTGGATCTATTCCGATTTAAAATGCAACCATTCGAAGATTTTCTGAGGCACATTAGTGTTTTTGATGTTCTTCGTAGGTGGCTGTGATCCAGTACAGTGACACTCCTCGTCTGGAGATTCCTCTGGGGTTACATCAGAGTGGAGCAGAGCTCATCCAGGCCATACAGAGCATCACCTACCTGGGAGGAAACACACAGGCAGGACAACATTTTTGTCATTATGAGAACAAAAGATGAAAGGGTTATCTAGATATAATATATACATATTATATATATGTATTTGGGTAACATGAGTGTCTACTGACCCACAAAATGTGTAATAAACCCATCCAGTTCTTTGTTTGTGGTTGTTACAGTTGGATTCTGGTAAAAAAAAAAAAAAAAGACATCGTTACATTGTTCACTAACACAACAACTTGAGTCCTGGTGTATTTGTGTGACATTCAGCACTTTGAATGCTATGGTGACTATGGTGGTGTAAGAATAAAACAGATGTTACCCCCAAGATTTACGACAAAAAGTCCCATTTATCCCATAAAATGTTCACTACTGAGCCAAAAACACAAAGCTATAAAGGCTGAGGCTGGTCATAAAGAGTGAGCTGCCTTCTGACAGGCCCAAGGGTGCCAACATTTACCAAAACATAGGTGCATCTGCAGCAATATGACCACACTGCAACACCACAAGCACAGACTTGGTAGATAAACAAGTGAGGTTTGGCTGCTTGTAACACATGCTCTTGTCACAGAGATACTTTTCATCCCTTTATAATCTACTTATTGGCAATTTTTTAAAATTTGTAATCTGCTGCAATACTCAAAATTTTCCACAAGATTTGATGAATTCAGGTCTGATCAGTTTACACCATTCCTCACGGCGCGATTGGCTTGTCCATTTACTCCACCAGGTGATCACTGTTTTCTGACTGTTTTGCAGACCGGCAGGGCCATCAGGTTTGCTGTGGACCACGTCTTCTCCTCCTCACAAAGAGCCAGCCAGGTCAAGCACCGCATTGCTGTGGTGGTGACTGATGGCAAATCCCAGGATGACGTGGTGAATGTCACTGTTTTTGTGTTTAAGTGCTTGAGTGAAACAAGTTATTTTGGTCGGACCTTGTTCATTGCATCAAGGGGCTTTGCATCTTTTAAGGCCTAAATGGGAAATTTTAAACCATGGGTGGCTCATCTTCACCACTGACAGCCTATTTTTCTGTAGGTGGATATCAGTATGGAGGCACGGGCTCAGGGCATTACAATATTCGCTGTTGGAGTGGGCAGTGAGATCACTACCTCAGAGCTGATTACCATCGCCAACAAACCATCTTCTGCCTATGTCCTGTATGCCGAAGATTACACCACCATTGACCGTATCCGAGACTCCATGGAGCAAAAGCTCTGTGAAGGTACAGAACCAAGTTTATTTGTTTTAAAACGTTCTGTCAGGCATTTTCTTTGGGATCCTCGCTTTTGTATAGAGACGAGTTCAAGAACTGTTTTGTTTTTCTTGCTGAAAAAACAAGCCTTATTTTTCCAGAGTCTGTGTGTCCAACACGAATCCCGGTGGCCTCTCGTGATGAAAAAGGCTTCGAGCTGATGGTGGGAATGAAGATTCAGACAAAGGCCAAGAAGATTCCCGGCTCTTTGGTTTCTGAGGCAGCCTACGCTTTGACTGTCTCCACAGACATTACTGAGAACACCAAGTAAGATACTATCCAAAGAGTACAATGGAGCTCTTAATAAGAAATGCATCACATGGATTTATTCTTTTTATTAACAGTTTAGATTATTGTCTTTAACTTCACGCTCCTTAAAGGGAGATTTTCCCAGAGGGCCTCCCGCCATCCTACGTGTTTGTTGCCACCATACGTCTAAAGGGGACCGCTAGCAAGCTGACCTTTGATCTTTGGAGGGTGCTGTCTAAGGATAAGGAGTTCCAGGCCGCAGTGACACTAAGTGGAAAAGACAAAACAGTCACCTTCACCACCACCAGTATAAGACAAAAAGAACAGAAAGTAGTATTTAAGGACAACTTTCAGGTGGGTATAAGATTGATTTGGGAAAGTTGGTTTCTTGGCTTTTGGCTATAACATAGAATGTCCAAGTACTAAAAATGCTCTAACCCCTAACCCTCTTATGAGACAAGAGGCGTGAAAATGCTTGATATGTCTTTTAAGGTAGGTAAATTATATAATAATCTCACAACATTATCTTTTACCTTTGCCTCTGGACACTACTTCATACTGGGTATTAGTGATTCATAGTTCTTTATAAACCTAAAAATAGCTGTACCTTACTTTAAAACCTGGGGCAGGTTGAATAAATCACACCAGGGCATTACTATTAAGGTTTTTTTTTTTTAAAGAGTAGAGAAAAGCCAGTAGTCTTACACAGCTTGATGTTGTACAAATCCCTGAAGTTTCTAAACCTTAACTTATCTATTTAAAAAAAACCCAGCATAGACAAATACAGACCTTACTTCATTCATTACGTCTCAATTTTCATAGTTTTTTTAAATATAGTTTTCACTTTATTCCAACAGTTTTCATGAAACATGTATAGCTTGAAGCTTTTTATAAACACATTAAAGGAGTATTTCTTTTTTTAACAATAAAGACAAACAGAACTGAGCCCTTGTTTGATGGACTTTCCTCATTCAGACGGATGGAAGAGATATATCATCCCCCATGTCCTGTTGGACACTATAAAATGAAAATCAGTGCTGTAAAGGTAACTCGACTCAACCAAAATGATTCAGTTTATGTGTGTATTAAATAAAAATTTGTCCCAGAATAACCTTAATTTACAGACAGTGGAGGGAACTTAAGTTGTGCAATACAGAATTTTAATTATTCTTTTTGTGTAATTTGGAGCTGAAAAGGGAGTGCACATTTCTGTGTTTTAAAAAAAATCTGATATATTGTTCAATGTGATGATCAGTGTGTCTATGTTTCATAAAATGGCTTTACAAAATTAAATTATCAGATCACTACGCATTTCAGTGTATGTATTATAATATGAACTCCACAAAATAAATCAGGCTGAACTATTGAATTAGTTTTTAATGTAAGTTCTCTGTTGTTGCACAACACATGGTTTGTTTCATGTTCTGCCAATTTCTAACACTATAAATCAGAAATACCCTGTGATTCACTTTTTAAACCTTTCTTTGGGTTTTTTGGACATTTATCATTGACTCTATAAAGATGGACAACACATCTCCACCTCCTCCCATTGTACAAGTGAAGCTAAACCCCCTGAGAAAAGTGCTACCTCTCGGCTGTACCCACCGTTTGTGTTTGCTCGTTTTACGTCACTGAAGTCGTCACGGTGAGCGACTAAAAATGGACACTTGCAGTCTGTGCAGCTAGTCTATCTGTCATAAGCTAGGCTAGCTAAGCAACAGCGACAACCCTGAGATTGATGGACACATGTACAGACAAATCAGTATCGAACTTTGACTTGTGGTGCATAAGTGCTGTTTTTCTATTAGTTAAAAAAACAACTGCCTTGGCAACATTAGCTGACATATATACAGATAAATTAGTGTTTCAAGCATGGTGTATTGGTTTGGTCGGTGAGGACTGGGGACACATAGCTTGAATACGAGAAGGTCCCGGTCAAAAACTGGGACGTATGGTCACCCTACTATTGTGTGTAAAACTCACTTGATGCAGTTTTAAAAAAGCCGATGCAAATGCTTAAACATGCTCATCAAATAACATCAACAAGATGCAAAGCGTCGAGGGACTGCTTTAAACACACATTAGTTGGTATTGGTTATTATAAAGAGTTGTCTCGCACGTTATTCTCCTGCCCCTGAAAGAGAACATTGCGTCACTTCCAATCTTGGCTTTCCCTTCATGTTTGTTGCTGTGAATGAACCTGACTGGGATGATTTACAGAGAGCCAAACGAGCAGTTATTTAAACATCATCCCCTGTTCAGTTTAATCCTAGCAGAAGCAGTCGAGATGTAATGTGATGTAAGCCAGGAGGAGGATGAAAGAAAACATTTCCTCCTCTCAAACCGCTGCATTTCCCCTCGTGGAAAACTAGCTGGTAGATGAGTGGTTCCTTCAATGTCAGCACACACTAATAATACATCCTGTAGGACACGCCAGGTTGTTTTTTCCAAAAGGCACACACCTCCCTCCATCCCGACAGACACCTTGACTTTAGTGAGTAGCGTCAGGCACGGTTGTAATTTTGTTCAATTTGTGTTTGCACATGTTTGATTTGTTTCGGTTTGATGTGGCACAAGGTAGAAGCCTGTGATTTGTCATATAGGAAGGATGACTGTGGCTCAATGAGACAATAGCTGCTCTGTTTCTCTCTCTCCCTCTGCATGGTTTGAGCTTTCAGAAATGAAATTGCGATGGAATAGGGAAGCATTACTTGGTCTCAGAACTTGCTGGTCATTACTATTTGTGTAGCATTTAGAGAACCCACAGTTTTGGCTGTACATGCAAAATTTGATGAGCACAAGTAAGACTGCCAACGGAAATAGAGGTCTGATTGAAAGAGATGTGACAAGTTAATACATGTTTTTACATCCAACTACGTTAATGGTGAACAAAGATATGTTTCAGTTGTTTTAAATGGACATATTCTCAGTAAATGTATGTTCATTTTGAGATAACCATATGTGTACCTTCTCTCAGACCCTTTACGATGGAAAGTGGCATCAGCTCAAACTCCTGGTGAGGCCAACCCAGGTCACCAGTTTCCTCGACGATGAACCAATCCAGGAAATATTGTTGGATCCAATGGAGGCTATTTACATCAATGGGGAGACACAGGTGGCTAAGAGGAGAGGGACGGACATCACTGTGCCCGTGAGTAATGATACTTTACTTAAGAGGACAAAACACATGTTAAAAAAAAAAAATGTCCGAATGTGTTATCCAAAAAGTGCAGGAGACCCCAATGAAAATGAAATCATTACTCTTGAAGCAAAAAATAAAAAAAATGTGTTTCAAGATGATGGTCATTTTTGTTTTACTGGGAATTACTGAATTACAATTCATAATTTTTAGCTCATATTTGTTGGGTCTCAGCTTTTATTCTTTTGTTTTATATGATTACTGCAGTTCAAGAGAAAAGTTTTCATATTTTTGTTAAACCCAGGTGGAGATTCAGAAGCTGCGTCTGTACTGTGATCCTTACCAGAGTGAGAGAGAAACAGCCTGTGAGATCTACTCTGTGGTGAGATCTCTAACCATGCCTTTATTACCACTGCAAGATTAAACTGTTTTTACTTAAATATGGCACTAAGTATCAGTCTACAGAGATCTTAACCATCATTATTTTCTCTTGTCCTCTGTCTCCTATTCTGTCCAGGATGATGAAAGGGTAAGTGCAGATTTTATCCTGCTACACACTTAACATTCAGCCTGTAAGACAAGGAAATAATTAACTTTGGACATTTCTAATGCGAAGAAGTCTACAATCGGAAGCTGTTATGCAAACTGTAAGAACATCTTAATGTTCAATCAAGAAGAGCATACATAAAGCCCCAAATCACCCTTTACAATCTGTAGATTGTGCATCACCATGTCACCACGTCTCCTCGATTTGGAAAAGGAAATGCTTTCACATTATTGGAAATCTCAAATTGGAATAAAGAGAAAAAAAAAAAACCTTGGGAAGACCTACAGGGGAGGCATTCCTCTCCCAGGAAGTAGATGTGATGTGTACAACAAGAGACAGACAAAATCACAGTTTATACAGATTACAAGGACAAAAAATATATATCACAATAAAGTTTGAAATGCTCTAATCTTAAGGGAAAAGTTGGAGTGTGCTTGCAGATCTAAGTTTGTTTGTGTTTCCTCAGTGTCCTCTGAATCGAACAGCCACAACGGAGGAAGAAGACTGCAACTGTGTGGTTGGACCACCGGGGCAGCGTGGTCTCCCCGGACGCATGGTAACAAACACACACACTCGCTCAGAAACACACACTTTTTTATATCAAACTCAAAGCCATTTCATATAAGAAATACCTCTTTTTTTATTAGCAATGCCTTTAAAGCACCAATCTGCAAGTCGTGTATAGCAACATCAACACTTCATCATATGGTAGCTCTTCATGCATTAATCTACGGTGGAATATGCTGTATGGAAAGTGAGGAATGACCACAATGTGGAAAATTGGAAACTAGAAAGACAATTTGTGTGTATTTGATGTGGAATTGGAGCGTTTCACTAAAAATATACATTCTCAGACCTCAGCCTCTACTAATGACCTCTAATTACTTCTAGTTGTGGGGACTCGATCTTTATGAGTCACAGACATAGTGGTATTTGTTTACCTGTGGAGAGCTCCCTAATGCACAGCATTGCAAGAGATGGTGGTGTGTTCCTTATATTCTTTTCTTTAGAGGCCACAAATAGTAATATTTGTGACTTCAACATATACCTCAGATTATTGCTCTCTGGAACATTATTACACAAGACCTATTCAGACTGCCTTGTTAAAACTTGATGTTTATGTCACTGTGACATTTTGCCTTTAATCTGAAAGTCACAGAAGCGTAAGGAGGGGGGGCTGGATATCTGACTGTGTGTTTATGTGGAGTTCCTGCTGTGCCGTACTCTCACGCTTCAACAAGCGAGTCCACAGACTGGGCCAGGAATATTACACTGTTGCGGAATCAATATGAATTGAATGAATGCGAGAAGGCGCAATGACAATGGAGCTTTGTTACGGCCCTATTTAAAAATTGAAGTATGAAAAGGGCTACAGTGTTGCTGGAGCTACAGCTGTTCCATATTGGGCATGTCTTTTTAAATCAGTTGGATGGCATAGGTTCTACTAAGAGTTTATATCTTTTAAGAGAAATTGAATATTTAAATCCAAGCAACACAAAAATCACTACAGTACTTCTATTTTCATCCTAGTCACGTGTTTGTTTGATTCAGTCTAATGTAGGCTAATGCTAGCAAACCTGACTTGATGAGTGTTATCTGCTAGTTCAACTTCAACTAAAATATTTAGTTATCAGTATTAAAGTAATTGAAAAAACTATCCACCTGGTCTCATGGTGGGTTGTTTAATCTCTGCAGGGTTTCCGAGGGCAGAAAGGGAGGGAGGGACCACCAGGACCTGATGGTAAGCCTGTAAGTGCCAAACAGTTTCCTCACCACTTTTCTTTTTGTTTTTTTCTCCACGATTTCATAAATGTCTGCGCATGACAGAATCATCCTAACTTGTATTTTTCTCCAGGGTAAAGATGGGAAAACTGGGGAATCTGGCCTTCCAGGAATACCAGGACAGAAGGTAAACATTTTACTCGTAAAAAAACCGAATGTCATCTAAAGTATTACAAGTAACAATATAAAGTTTTATGTGGCCAAATGTTTACCTAAAAATGTATTTTCTATAAATGTATTGTTTGAGTTCAAATGTACAGAAAAAAAGCTCTTTAATGTGTCACAAAATTCCTCTAATGTCATATCATGTCAAATTGCATTTGAGTTACAATTTAGCACCATGGACGATTGGTTCCAAACCTTGGGTTCAGGTCCAGGTGCCAAAGATCTCAGGGGGGTGCATATTGATTAAAATAACCCTAAAAACAGTTACTGGATAGTTTATGCAAAGGACTTTTGGTAAGAGCGAACATATGGAGGATTTGTCTGAGGGGATTTTATCAATGAAAACACACTGATGTTAATCTTTGACAGAATCTGTTTTATTTTCTTTGTGTGGGTCCTGGGGGTGGGGGGAATGCCATAGACCATGCTAGTATATGAAGCTGTCAGGGGAATTGTAGGTATAGAACGTAATGATTTCCCGTCTGTTTTTGAAATGTGAAGAAATTAAAATGTGTATGCTCTCGTGTCTGACTATGCATCTTTAACCATGCCTTGGTACCTCCATGTTGCTATGTCTCCTGTTATATGATATTCAATTTGTGGGGGCTCAATAATATCAGCTGAACAAGATGTATATAGTTTTTTTTAAACACTTGATAAGGTACACAGTGAACAAGTATCTCATTGTTATTGTACTCCGTTGCTGCATTTCTTCCCTTGTCTGGGCAGGGTGACGTCGGCGCTGTAGGACTAAAGGGGGAGTCTGGTCTTAAAGGTCCCATGGTAAGGCCTCAAAAAAACATCAGTGTTGTGTCTTTTTTGATTTACTTGATTTACTGTGTCTAATTCTGCTGATACTGCCCAGGGAGAGCGTGGTGAGCCAGGTTTTCCAGGAGAACCAGGACCCCGAGGACTCAAGGTCAGACTATGATGGCAATCGTCTCATGGATGTTCTTTTTCTATACTGTCGGTCCTTTCTGAAAATGTGTTTCAGGCTAAAGGGTGTTATGTTTCTGCTGTTCTAGTGGTCTTTACAGACACATGGTATTATGTGAAAATTAACTGAACAGTTATGTCACAGTGCAAGTACATATTAGGATAAATTGGCAACGTAAAAGAAACGTCTTAGTTAGATGAGCAACATTAGTATTTGGAGTTTGTCGCTTGAAAAGTTCACTGTGAATGTTTAGATAGTGCTGAATAAGTCTCTCTTGTGATAATCCAGTTTTTTATTGGACATACAGTAACATTCATGCTGTAACATTTAACTATGCACAATTGCGACACCAAAGTTTGGTTATTTCATGGTACATTGCCTTTCCATAGCTACCACACACTAAAAGCCAAGAGGTACATAATACCAAAGATTTGAATGTGTAGCAGCAGGAGGACTTGCTTGCTAAATGTGCACATTTAGATGTTCACTGAACATCAATAGGAAGGTGATCAGTAAGAAGTAAGTAAGACTAAGATCCATAGTGACAGGCGACAAAAGCACCGTTTGTGAGAATGCTGGTTTACTGCAAGACACAGCTTTAGTTTAAGACAACGGGCAGTCTCAGGTCAGCCCCAGTAAGTACTACTGCCAAACATGATAACAATCCCGTGTGTCCGCAAAGTTATAGGCCGAGGTGAAAGACTACAAAACAAAACGTATCAAACCAAGTTGCTGCCAGTTCCTTGTAAGATCTATTAATAGTCTTTGTTTCACTCAGGAATATCCAACAGCATTTTTCTGTAAGTCTTGATGCATTAGAAAATCTATTGAGGATTAAAATATCTTTATTTCTCAATAGAAATATGAATATATATATATATATATATATATATATATATATATATATTTTTTTTTGATATCTGTATATATTTTTTTCATCTATATACCCAATGTACATGGACATAATTTCTTATCAGTTACAAATCTGGTGTAATACAGAATTTTCCATTTACTCACATTTTATTTGACCGCCATTTCTTTATTTCAAATGAATGAACAATTTACAAATGATTCTGTGATGAAAGATTATGCAGGGTTTGCAGTGAGAAGTTTGAGTTGAGATTCAGACGTATTTTAAATCTGTAAAAAACTTTACATCACTCCAAAATAATAAGTGATATTTTTGAATGCAGGGAATTCCTGGTGATAGAGGGGAGGCGGGGCCTCCAGGAGAAAGTGGACCAATGGTAAGATCAAGTAGTACCAGCTTTCGTGACAGTAACAGGATAATAAACATAAAACCTGACATGCCTTTAAATGAAAATAAAACATTTTGCTAGACCATGTTGGCCAGATGCAACGTAAATATTTCTACTAACTATGAATAGAAAGTCGAGTAGAGTGTGTATGTATTTGTGTTTGCTGTTTCCTCCTGTCACAGCAGTCTCTGCAGTGTTAGCAGCAGAGTGTTTAATGTGGAACACATAATTACTGTAATGGTGTTGAATCTGGCTGCTGCTGCTCCTCTACTCATCTCACAGAGAGTGTTTGTTGTCCAACCAGGGAGAGCCAGGAGAACCAGGCAGCGGCGGACAGGTTGGGCCACCAGGACCAAAGGTCAGTGCAGACTGTGGATACAGAGATCAGGTTGGAGATAAATACACTCCAACAATTGTGCAAAGTGTATTTCCATCCAGGCAATGCACGCCCATATTGTGGAAAACTGAATTCCAAAAACATTCAGGATGTATGCTACCATCCCAGCCTTCACTTTCGTAGGGAAACTGCCCACAGGATTTTGGAATAGTCCCAAAATATTAGAAGTATACACTTTTAGTCAGAAAGTGAAGTCTATTTTCACCACAGAATTAGCTTCTGGTGTGTTCATGAAGTTATGGCTCATATGGCTCAAACAGCTGGTGAAGTGACTGTCCAGATGTAAGCTGTAGTTGGCGAGAAACAAGCACTGCACTGACTGTGTGTGGCAGCTCAGACTATGACTGATCCCAGAATTCACCAGCAACTCTAGTATTTTCAGTCTTTTGTTTCTCTTCGTTTTAGTTTATGTGTTAATTTATAAAACATTAAGATTTATACACACTCTATAGATAAGTGTTTTCATGATATGTGCCTTGTGTTCATTATAAGATCGTTATATGCTGTAGTATTAATGTTTCCTTGATCGAAACCCCATTAATGTACACAATACTACTGTTTATGCATATGTTTGGTCACTTAGTGCTGGCAACTATTGATGTCCATTCACTGAGGGATGACTTCAAATCCAAATCAGACAGGATTGTTGCATGCTACTGCATGAACAAGCAGAGGTTTTAGCAGCTACACATGAAAAGATACGGAGAATAAATCTTCATTCTATGACGCTTAAACAACACTTAGACAATGCTTAGACAAATGATACGCAGCAAAGGAAAATATGTGCACAATTTCCAATAAATGGACCACAACAAGGGAAATCCCTGGTACGAGTCTTAGGCTTTTTGACATACAAAAATGTCCGTAAGAATGGAAATGCATGGACTCAAGACAATGGAGCAGTTAAATGCAACGCATAAACTAAATGAAAGAAGTTCCAGATGTGATGCAGGATCATCCCATTGCTTAGGTACACTGGATAACTTGGCTTGCATACTTTTTTGACAACCACGAGGTTGCATACAACGAACGATAGCATACAGTACTGACTCAATAAGATACCAAGCTGCCACACAGGGAAAGTAAGCAGCCTCTTGAGTGGAAGGGAAACAAAAAAAAACATCAAGTTTCGGAGCTATGTTGGAAAGAAATGTATGATGCAGAAACAGAGATTAAACAGACATAGATGCATCTAATTTAAAGTCCTGCAAAAATCTGAAATTCAATTAATTAAGTTAATGAAATGATCACTGCTTACTACATACTACTAGGATGTTCCATTGTGGTGACTTTGAAAGAACTAGTCGCTAAATGAAAGAGCACATGTACACATCTGCAGGCATGTGAGCACGCCCACCAGCTACGATGTGTGCGTTGCTATTTTTGAGTCGTCTCTGAACTGCTTTGAGTGTTAGACCAGTTTGACTCACAGCCCAGCTCAGTAATTTGGGACTCTTCCTGTTATCACAATAAACTACTTTCCCCCTTGACAATCTGGAAGCGCTCCACACCAACTGAAGGGTGGTGGTACACAGTGGTGGAGTTGAAACAGCACACAGTTGGTGTCCATATGTGGAGGGGCGGTGGGGGGTGGTTGATGTGTTTTAGAATTGCAGCAAGCAGCAAACTGTTGAGCTACTTCTGAATAAGACAAACTCCAACCAACTGATAGCCACATGCCAAACCCAAACCAAAGCAAGGTGTGTTCCCAGAGGTTTACCCTTCCTTCTAATCTTCCACAGGAACACTTTGAATTTGCAAAATACAGTTTAGACTAAACGTTACCATCTTTTTCAGCCCAATTTATATTGATATATTTTGAATATGGTATGAACAGGTCCACATATTGTATTGGGGCTCAAGTTAGCAAGTGTTCTGCTTTTTTATACTTGGGCAGCAGCTGTTAATACAGTGAGGGGAGGTTTTTTTGGTTAGGTTGGGGAAGGTAGAAAGTTATAATGGGTCTAACAGGCTCGGGAGAAAAATGATGGTTGAACCTTTGCAAGAATACAGAACAATATCATCATGATAGGCCAGAGTGAGCACTGACTATTGTAACTAACATGAGCTTGATTATAACCTGGTTCTTGCAGCCAATTGGTCTACATAGTTTGGTTGGGGGGCTGATGGGGGCCAAGTGGTGTGGGGGATGGTATTGGCGTTGTGGCTGCCTGGGTCTTTTGAGACTGGTCAGGCTGTTTGGGTTGCTGTGGCAACTAGGGGCCATGTGGTGGGTTGTGTGGCTTGTCGGTGGGGCGTGGGGGCTTGGTTTGGATGGGGGGTTTCTTCTTCGCTTGTCAGTTTGTTGGGACCAATGTATCTTGTGCTTATTTCAAACACTTGTTTATTTGTCTAATTATTTGTTTCATTATTTGTTGCTTGTTTTACAGCATTTTGTAACTTGTTTAAAAAGTCCTATATGAATAGATGTATTATTATTATAGAATTTGCTCGGAAGCTAGAGAGCAAAACTCACAACTCTCAACCTATTACATCCAACATCAAAAGATCATCATATTATGTCACCCTTGAAAGTAAACTGAAGCCTCTGTTCAGTTATTTTGGGTCTCGCTCAAAGCCACTTTGTTTCCCATTTAGGGCTGAACAATAAATCCCAATTTTATTGTTACCAGTTTATGAGCTTTCGCAAGAAAACACAAAGCAAAAGTCTGAAGCTATCGCAATAAATAAGAATAGTTATTTTATGCAAACAAACAATGATTTCACACTCAGCATGTCTATATTTTACATGCTCTCACACCATTATCATGCAGTCTGATAAAACGCAGGCTACTCTCAGAGTAATTGTTGTAGATTTAATGGTTAAAAAAATGAACACACACACACACACACACACACACACACACACACACACACACACACACATACACAGGACAAACAAGAAAACACACAAGAGGGAATAGAGACTGAGATCCTTCCAACTCTGCATTTAGAATAACTTTCTGTATTTTGTCATATTGCATCATATACAGTATATTGCGCAAAAAAATAACTCTAATACTTCCCAATTTTTATCATTACTTTTATATACATATCCAGCAGTCACAGAGAAATGGAATCAGCAGAAGTCCAAAATATTCTTCCATTTAACTCTGTTGTTTAGTTTTCACAAGCTCCTGAGGGAAATATTTGTCTCTTTATCTTAGCTTGTGACTGTTCCACTATGTTGGTGGTTATTATCTCCATGTGTCTCCTATTTGGTGCTGGTGAGGTATTACACAGTAAGTGTATCAACAGATTTACATCACTGCAAACAGCTGCTGCAGCTTCTCGAACATGATGAGAGTGATAACAGTGAGCCAAAGCAAAGGGGTCCCGGGGTCAAAGTGTAAATTGGTGATTAGTCTCTGTTGTTTCATCCCTGAGAGTAACACCTCTCATGTAGTCGTTTGAGCCATTTCATCTCGTAAAATGATGTGGCACATTATTTCCTAATGTGAAACAAAACAGCTTGACTGCCAGATGAGATAGTTAACTTATCAGAATTTCCTGGAAAAAATCTGGTGTTTACATGATAGTTGCCAAAAGACCAACAAAGAGACTACATGCAAGGTCAGGGAACATTGAGCGTCCTAAAGATTAACAAACAGCCTGCCTTTGACAGGATCCAGTAATGTGTGCTGGGGTTACGAGGGGAGAGTTTAAATTGGTACATTGTCCTCAGACTAAAGGATCTAATTCAGAAGAAGAAGGTGTTCCTGTAGTACTACTATTAAGGAGAATACTTTGATTTTGTTTCCAAGTATGTTGATATCGATTTGGTAGGTTGGAGAAGGATCAACTTGAATTCTCTCATGCAGCACAATGCATATAACAAATATTGTGTTATGAATCCAGTTTTCCCTTAATTTTACTTAAGTGGCCATATAAATTGTGCAAGCAGCTTGCAAAGTAGTTTAGCTTCATTCATTTATCGTATTTCTGGATGCAAATTTTAGTTTCCTGCAAATATTTGTTGAAGTCGGACAGGACATTTACTCTGGGCAAATGTGTATATAAATATACCAGGGGTGAGCTGAGCTGAGAGCATCACAGATTTAACAAGGTTTCAATTCAGTTCAAGTTCAGGCCACATCTTTTCCAAGCCACTTTGACAACTGTGGGAGGATGTTTTAAGTACATAAGGTGTGAGAAGAGGACATTGTGCTGAACAATGAGTAACGGTAAAAGACTTCCAAAGATATCCATGTGATCAAGAGTGAGATTACGTTAACCACAGGGACATTGTATTCTGTAGTCCTTTGCAAAGTGTTAAATTGGCAGCTATGGGTCAATCAGGATAAATTAGTTTAAAACAAGAATCAGGATGTTTGAGTAAACACAGAAAACAGAAATGTTCAGAAAGACATTGAAGGTATATTGTTGTCTATTTGCATTTGGATAGTGACAACACCAGTGCTGGCAGACTGTGACCTGAAGTGATGGGCAAGTTACTGAAAATGAGTTACTAGTTACAGTTACTAGTTACTACTATCAAAAAGTAACAGTTTTTTTGCATTGAAAAATAACGAGCTACTTGGGAAAGTAACTTTATAGTCAATTTTGTTTTACTTCCACACTCACATTGATGTACACATTGTTTAGTGTTTGCTGTGGCAACGTGGGAGGAAACAACCCACAAATTTCCAATCGGAGCCATTTTCAACATGCAAGTGTTTTGCTAATTGGTTCTCTGAAGGTGACAGATTTTAACAGTTTATAAAGGAAACATGTCTTCAACAATATAACCTGCTTTCATTCTGTTTAGTCCCAGTTTAGAGATCTCAGAGCTGGCTGTGATTTAAAACCAAGCCTTGTTTGTTTGGATTGACTGTCTCCTCCCTGCTCATGAGCTGCACTTGAGTCTCCGGTGTCTGCAGCACAGGTCTCTCCGACAATTTGTTTATTAGAAGCATATTTTTTTTTGGTTTTTCTTTGTTGCCACTTCGTGAGAATAGAAT